TAATATAATCGATTACCCATTGAATAAGCATTGAATTTAAAGGGCGTCCACGATGAAATTGCCACACTATGAAATTGCTCTAACTTTTTAACCGTTGGGTAGAATTTAATGAAAATTTGGGTGGATTTAGTTCATAGTGCATTATTTACATCCTACAAGTTTTAAAGTCCTGTGATCAAAACTCGCGGAAATGGAGTCGAAAGAACAGCTCGTGCGTGATAAAATCTTGCGCATTCATCACGAGAACAAGGATCTCTCGCATCGTTCCATCGCTAAAACGTTGGGAATCGCGAATTCCACGGTGTCGCGAGTGATTAAGCGGTTCGAGGAACGGTTGACCACCGATCGGAAGCCCAGAAGTGAAGGAAAAAGTATTCCGTACAACACCAAAAATCACAACCGCGTAGTTGGGGCCTTCAACCGAAATCCGAACGCCTCCGTTAGGGATGTGGCTAAGAAGCTGCACCTAAGCCGAAGTTTTGTCCAGAAGGCCAAAACTAAGGCTGGGCTTCGAACGTTCAAGGTACAAAAGGCCCCTAATCGCGACGAGAAGCAGAACAAGTCCGCCAAAACCCGTGCCAGGAAGTTGTACCTCAACATGCTGACGAAAGTTGAATACTGCATCATGGACGACGAAACATATGTGAACGCCGACTTCAAACAGATCCCCGGCAACCTGTTTTTCACGGCAAAGGATAAGTTCAGCGTTCCGGAGCATGTCCGCACTCAGAAGATGTCCAAATTTGCGAAGAAATTCCTGGTTTGGCAAGCCATCTGCACGTGCGGGAAGCGGAGTGCACCTTTCGTGACCCAGGACACGATGAACGGACAGGTGTACATAAAAGAGTGCCTCCGGAAGCGGCTGCTTCCTCTCCTGAAGGCCCACAACGTCCCAACAATCTTCTGGCCGGATTTGGCCTCATGCCACTACTCCAAGGACGTGCTGAAGTGGTATGCGGACAATAAGGTCAATTTCGTGCCGAAAATGTTCAACCCTCCCAACACTCCGGAGCTCCGCCCCATCGAGAAGTACTGGGCGATTATGAAGCAGCACCTTCTTAAACGACCTAAGGTAGTGAAGACAGTCGAGGAACTGAAGAAAGTATGGGTTTACATGCAAAAAACGGTTGATTCACAGGTTGTGCAGAATCTTATGGCCGGGGTTAAGGCCAAGGTGCGGGCATTTGCGTATGGACTGTAAATAAAATACGAGTAAAATGGTAAAATGAAGTTTAATAGTTATTTCTCAATCCCTGAAAATTTGATGGCAATCGGATGAAAACTCGAATTTTGCGAATCAATTTTGTGTGTGGCAATTTCATCGTGGACACCCTTTAAATCAAATGCATTTAATTCCATCGTTTGCATCAACTATTCAGTGGGATGTGAACATCAAAACAAAGCATGCGCTTTTTCAGTGACACCTATACATCGAGGCGAAGATAAACAAACACATCAGGAAAAGAAAACTCGGTGTAGTGAATTCAGGAAAATCTCCCTGCAACCTTCTCCGGCAGAAAATAAACTCTCCAACGAAATTGTGCAGAAGCTCCCTCCGGAATATCCCCTGCCAACATCAAAATCACGCAAAACCAGCTCCTCCGATAACGCGAAACAACTCCGTCGAAATTCCGTAGAACCTCCGTTGGCAGCATCAGAAATCTCCACCGGAATCATGCGAAAGCTCCTCCACCTAAAACACGAGAAAATACCGTACAGATTTCCTGAAACTTCCGTTGGCAGCACCGAAAATCACCACCGTGAATACGAGAAAACGCCGTCGGAACTGCGCTTCTTCTTCTTCTTATTCGCATTTCAAGCTTATTGCATATCGCATATTAGCTTATTGCGTGCTCTCAACTTAGTGTTCTAGATGCACTTCCACAGTTATTAATTGAGAGCTTTCGATGCCTGTACCATTTTTGCATTGGTATAATTGTGTGGCAAGTCCAATCATACTTCTATGCCCAGGGAACTCGAGAAATTTTCTAACCCGAAAAATTCCTAGACCGGCCCGGGAATCGAACCCAGCCACCTCCAGCATGGTCTTGCTTTGTAGCTGAGCCTTTACCGACAAAGCTAAGGGAAGCCTCGAAACTGCGAAACTGCGCTGGCAGAATCAAAAACTTCCACCAAAATTGTACAGAACCTCTTCCGCTGAGAACGCGAGAAAACTCCGTTAAAATTCCCTGGAACCTCCGCTGGCAGCATCATAAATCGCCACCGAAACCGTATGGTACCATAGATGTAACTCTAAGACTAGAAGGTCCCGAAATAACGTGCTCAACTTTTTGGCTCAGCTCTGGTACTCTCTTCGGTCCCAAGCTAATCGATTCATCCCTCAAAACATAGGAAAAACCAATAACCCCTCATTTTATCTGTCAAACTTTCATAGCGAATCAAAACAAATATTGCGTAGTACTAGAATTTCGACTAGAATGGGGTACGTTAATCGTTTGCTTGGGACCAAAAAGCTAGTCAAGTAGTGAGCCAATTTAAAATCGTTAATTTCGTATTGATGGTACCTCGTCCGCCATGATTGCTAGAAAACCGCCATCGAAATTTCGCATTTTTATGTATTCGATAAAAATGGCAACATCAACAGACACAATGTAGCTCCAATGTATTTTATTTAGTCAAACCAAGTCAAACGTAATCCTGGTATATGAATTCTTTATCAGAACAAGACAAAGTTCCAATAACCTTCGTTGGCAGCTGCTGAATCGTCAATTGAAACTTCCAGGAACTCCCGCTGGCAGCATCCAAAATCACCGAAATCACGCGGAACTTCGTCCATCGATAACGTGAGAAAATGCCTGGAGCTTCCGTCTGCAGCATCCAATCTCTTCACTGGTATCGTGCAGAACCTCTTTCGTCGACAATGCGTGGAAACTTCGTCGAAAGTCTCTGGGAACCTCCGTTGGGAGCATCTGAATTTTCGAGGGGAGTTTCGACGGAGTTTCAGATATTCACGGCGGAGAGGGTTCCGAGAGGTTTTCGATGCTGCCAAAGGAGGTTCCAGTGAGCTTGGATGGAGTTTTCTCGCGTTTTCGGTGGACGAGGCTCTGCCGATTCCGGGAGATTTTTAATGCTGCCCCGGAAATTTCGGCGGATTTTTTTCTGCTGAATAATTTCAGGAGTGTCGATTTGTGCAAACCGAAGCAAATAACAGAACAGCTCAAAACGCATGTATTGATGGGAGGTGTCAGTGTCAGAACTACACACAACAACAAAATCCACTGAGAAAATGCATTTATTTATTTTAATTTATTTTTTTCTTTTTTTTATGATAAATACACCTCAAGTGATCTGACCCTAGCCTTAGAACCTAAAACCTCGATATTATCATCAAATTGGCAGAAGGCTATAATCTTTATGGATCTGTGTGTGTGTGGACCACACTTTTCATAACGTTACATGAGTGTAAATGAATAAAAACGATTTTGTATTTGATGTTCAAAATAATCCAAATCAAGACAATTCTAGATAGAGCTAGAATTAGGGCGTAACAGCTTTTGTAAACAATGACTTCTTTCGGTGATTTCTAGAAAGTTCGCAAATCAATAACACCATCGGGTAGAGGAAGACTTCCCCTACCCGACGGTTATGTTGGTTTGCGTGGGCGTGCCTTGAGTTCCTAGAAATCGTCGATAGAAGTCATTATTTACAAAAGCTGTTACGCCCTAATTCCAGCTCTATCTAGAATTATCATTATTGAAATAGACGAGTGCACGGATGGATGTGAGTTCACTCAAACAAAAAGAAGTGACACAAGCTGGGGACAATATTTACAAATCATGAACACTACACAGCAAAAAAATAATTTCGATATCACGTCAAAGTGGATGCACTACAATCTTGTCGAAAATATGGTGTAATATTACTTGCTAAAAAGGACAGAATTATCATTAATACAATGCATGAACTGACATTCCGCTGCTTTTACTGCATTTGTTTATTTATGTGGTCATAAAAATTACATGAAATTTTCGACATGATTGTAGTGCATCCACTTTGATGTGATATCAAAATTTTTTTTTTGCTGTGTAAATATTCATTATTCATTATTCATGAACATGTAGTGTTCATGATTAATAAACATTGCCCGCAGCTGTGCCACTTTTTCTCGAGTGAGTGGACTCAAATCCATCCTTGCACCCGTCTATGACAACCACACAGGCGATAATTAGGTTCTGCAGCGTGACGTCACGAATGAACCCAGTTTTAATCGGCTGAACCTTTTTGACAGTTCAATGGTACTGTTTACAAGCACTAAGTCGTTTTTACCAAAACAAATATTTCAAAATTTCCGAATTTTTTATTTGAAAATTTGCGAGGAAAGAATGTTGCTCATGGACAATGCAGAAGTGTGGTTTACATCTCACTGCAGTCTGAAAAATTATCGAGAAAATCTACCCAAGAAGTCCTCGTAAACGGTACAACTGAACTGTCATCAGATTGAGGTTAACCTCGACGGTGCAAATCCTAATGAACATGCATCCACGAATGAAAAAGTCAAATTCAAGCGTAACTATTCAAATTAACTCATCCACGCAAACAATCACCATCATCAGGTAGGGTAATCTTTCCCCTACTAGCTGGTGTTGCTAGTTTCTGTGAGTGAGCAAGCAGTTGCCACAAATCGTCGATTGAAGTGATTGGTTAGCAAAATCAATTACGTCGATTTGAACAGTTACGCTTGAAATGTAGACTTGGAAACTCAGCGGTTGCCTTGATCATGAGAATTTTGTCATGACAAAATTTAAATTCATGCCGGTAGTTGGTTTACCTGTCAAGGTTGCCTCGATTTTGAGATAATTTGAGTGTAGAAGAAATAATTTTTATCGGCACTGTTGTCCACCCAATCGATTAAGAGACTCAAATTGGATTGATTTTTGTTTTACCTAATGGCTATGTGTATGAATGAGAGTATGTTAGGACAAGAAAACCAAGGAAGTTCCGCAAGTCTAACCATTGCTAATTTATCTTTCCCCCTCCAGTTGCAATCTACTGAAACCAGTATGCAGTGATCTTGTCATCGGGATCAGTGCAACCAAGCATCCAGAATCTCATAGCCCTACTGTCAACAAGATCTGTACCACCATGAACACTCACCGAACCCTTGCACTAACAGCCATCCTGCTCATCTCATCGATCTCGACCAATTCAGCGGAAGACCAGACCGGCAGCAGCAAGGTCCGTAGGAAGCGATTTGTCTGCCCGGATGAATCGACCATCTCGGATTGCACGTGTCAGGAGTTCGGGACCCAGTTCATGTTCAACTGCCCGCAGTCCAATCCGACGCTGGAAATAACGGTAAACGAAGCCATACAAGCAGTTCAACTCAAATGCCGAGAGCGGTACGATCTCAATAGCCTGCCGAATCTGGCAATCGGCAACATCAGTCTGCTGGTCGTTAAGGCCTGCGTTTTGAACGAGACGCAACCCATTCTGGAGACGTTCGGTTTCCTGGGAGTTAACAACGTTAGAGCGCTGCTGTATGATGACTATCACGACCTTCAAACGATTCCGTATAGTCGAACGCATTTTGAAGGACTGGAAAACCTGGTAAATTTGACCTTGACGCGTGGATTCGGAATTCAAGAGAATACCTTTGAGCGTTTATCGAACCTTAAACGGTTGAACATCCAAAATAACAGACTGGAACTTCAACGTGGTGTGTTCGATGGTTTGCCAAATTTAGAAGTTCTCAGTTTGGAGTACAACAAAATCGATCACCTGGAATTGGGCTTGTTTAAGAAGCTAGGAAAACTAGAAGTGCTCTCGTTAGCTCGCAACAATATCAAGAACATCAGCAAAGAGGTGTTCAACGGTTTGAACAACTTGCGTTTGCTGGACCTGCGGACCAATAGCATCGCATCACTGGACACAGACGTTTTCACTATGCTACCAGAACTTACTGAATTAAATATCGGATTCAATCCGATCAGCAAATTCCCGGAAGGCACGCTTTCTGGTAATCGAAAACTCAAAACCTTCGGTTTGCGTAATAACAAGAATTCATTGAAATCCCTTCCGGAGGATTTCCTTGCTAGCCTACCACAGTTGAAAATGGTCAACCTGGATTACAACAAAATAAGCCATCTACCGGACTCACTTCTTCATCAATCGGTGGAGGTCGTTGAACTTAATCTTGCTCACAATAGATTAAGAAGCTTACCGGAAATGCTGCTGCGTGATCAGCATCAGCTCCGGGATCTCAATCTCGGCCACAATCTACTGGAAACGATTCCCGATGAGCTTCTGGAAAACTGCCGGGAGCTGATCACACTGCGCTTGTCAAGCAATCGCCTTCAGAGCTTATCAGGGTAAGTACTAATCTCAATAGCTGATCGTCATCGATCCTAATCAATCGTTTATTTCAGAAACGTCTTTGGTTACCTAAAAAATCTCAAGAAGTTGTACCTGGAAAACAACAACCTTCAGACCATCGATCATTTTACCTTCAGCGCTAACAGAGCCCTAGAGGAGCTGTACCTGCAAAACAATCAACTGGCGTTCCACGCCACCAGCTTCGTACAGGACGAACTGAACATTGGCGACAGTGACAACACGCCGTTCCAATATCTGATAAAACTTCGCACCCTCAAGTTACAGAACAATAGCATCTCGACAATCTTCATGGACTGGAACATCAACAATTTGGAACTGCAAGAGCTGGATCTCAGCAATAACCTAATCTCCAAACTCCAGTACGCTGACCTGCAGTTCCAATCGAGCATCTCCGTGAATCTTTCCAACAACAACATTTCGTTGATCTCCATCGTAATCGATCAGCTGGAGTTGAAGAAAAATCAGAAAATCATCGTTGACCTCAGCAATAACCCCCTGGACTGCAATTGCAACGTCCTCGGCTTTGTCAAGTATGTCCAAGATAAAAGCGATAAAGCGCTACAATTCAACACCGATCGTCTACGCTGCGCTGAACCCGCAAATCTCCGCGATACGTCTATAAAAGAAGTGAAAACCGAAGATCTCAAATGCAGGCTAACCGAGAGCTGTTCAACGGAGTGCAGCTGTGATCTACGACTGGTAGATTACACGATCGTCGTCAACTGCAATGGGCGTGGTCTTACCCGGGTTCCAGAACTTCCACCACCAGATCAATTCGAGGATTTTAACTCCATCGAACTGCACATCGAAGACAATCTACTGACCGAACTGCCCACTTCAAATCTCCTCGGTTACGATCAAGTCACACAGCTGTACGTCCGCAACAACTCCATCGGTCACTTGCATCCCGAGAATCTCCCCAACAATCTACGCCTCTTGGACCTTACCCAAAACCAACTTAAAACGATAGACGATTCCACAATAGCATTTCTCAACCGCACCAGCCACCTCTCCAGCATCCGACTTTCCAACAATCCATGGCGTTGCAATTGCAAGAAATCTCGCTTGTTGATCTTTATCCAACGTAACCAGAACCGAATCGTGGACATGCCAGAGATCCTATGTGACGTCACAGGTCGACCGCTTGGTTCCATTACCGTGAACGACCTGTGCAACGAAGATCTTACCAAGCTGATCGTGATCTGTATAGTGGTGGCAGTCATGGGGCTGACAGTGGGCCTGCTTTCGACGTTGTTCTACCGGTACCAAACGGAGGTCAAGGTGTGGTTGTTCACGCATAACCTATTTTTGTGGCTCATTACCGAGGATGAACTGGACCGAGACAAGCGATACGATGCGTTCATTTCCTACTCGCATTTGGACGAAGACTTCATCACCGATCAACTGGTGCCGACGCTGGAGAAGGAACCGATGTGCTTCAAGACCTGCTGGCATGTTCGGGACTTTATGCCCGGCGAGATGATCATCACGCAGATTATCAAATCAATCGAAGACTCCCGCCGGACGGTGATAGTGCTCTCGAAGAACTTCCTGCAGTCTCAGTGGGCAAAGGAAGAGTTCCGACAGGCTCACGTTCAATCGATGGAGGACAACCGGGTCCGAGTGATCGTCGTCATATATGACGACATCGGAGACGTCGAAAAACTAGACCCGGAGCTTAGGGCGTACCTCAAGACGAACACCTACGTCAAGTGGGGTGATCCGTGGTTTTGGGACAAGCTCCGGTACGCCATGCCGCATCCACTGAAGATCAACGGACTGAAGAGGGTGGAAAAAGAAATTCTGCTGGAGCAGGTGGATGCAACTGCGCCGAAGACTGTGTTAGGTTGAATCTTGCCAACTGTTGAAGAAGAATACTCAAGGGACACACACACACCATGATTCGTTGGGATTGGAACTTATACAGAACCATTAAAAAATGCCATAATGTACAAAAAAAACCATTGCGAATGGGAGGAGTTGACAGGTGCTCACCGCGGACAACAATGAAATCAATGGGTGTTTATCGAACTAGCAGCATGACTGTGACGTAGCAATTATTGCTCCTTCAATGACTGGGGCAATCGAATGCACAAGCAGTGGCGTCGCGTAACCTCACTTTTTACCTCTTGAAAAACGTAAACAATTGAACAAAAATGCTTTAATAGATACAAATCAGAGAAACCTGAAGGTTCTGTGCAAATTGGAACCGCTTTGGGTATACACACTTTGATCTTTATGCCGAGATTGGCACCACCAAGCAGCTCGGTCTTTGGTTTTACTAAGAAATCAGCAAAAAATCTGTTTGTTAGCTGATTCTCGCCAAGTTTTTCACTCGGTGTGTAGGAATATAGATATAAATTGCGGTTTTAAGTCAGAGAACAGGTACAAAGTGAGGTTACGCGACGCAACTGGAAATTTAAACAGTTGTGCTGTATACGCTTAAAATTTGTGAAAACTTACTAATAAAATTCAGGCAAATCTCCAAGTCATTGAATTAATACGTACTGTTAAGATAATTTTTAGTTTATTTAGTTTAGGAAATATATTTCTAATGAGCAATTTTAAATCAGAGGTTTAGTTCTATGAATAAAAATCCTACAGTGAAATAATTTGTATTATTCTTTATCCATTACATCTTGGTCTTCTGCCAAGTACTTCGTTCTCCATTGATATAATATCGTTGACCAGTGGTGTGGCTTCCAAATCCTTTATCAACAATCAATCTAAATCAAAAAAATCATTAATCTAAAGTTTTGGTTGGTCAGTAATTTTCTGGATTAGCTATCTGCCTTGATCAGTAATACAGTTGCCATGACCAACAGTTAATTTTTGATTTTTTCCTTGATCAACAATCTGGTTTACTTAAAACTACACACCAAAAATTAATTGAAGATTTCTGCAAAATGGTTTGCTGAAAAGCAATCAGCAATCTACGATTTTACTGAAAATCAGTAATTTGGTAATAGTAATCAGTAATCTGGTTCAACAGTAACAGTAATCAGTAATTTGGTTCAACTTGACAGGATTGCTGAAAATTCAGCATTCACGCTAAGGGTTCACGCGTCTGTTGGGAGAGACAAGTTGACAAAAGAACAAAGTCGATCGGATTCATGTCGATGTTGTTCATTTGTCAAGTTGTCACTCCGAACATAGTTTACCCATTTTTGGTGATTGGTTAGGAAATCTATCACTATCGCAAAACTGTCAACGATAAGGTTCCGAAGAATCTGGACCTAGGTCCAGAGGCAAACTGTAGAACGGTGCAATGTCACACCTCTTCACCGTACCTTGCGTCAGTTAACATCCACACCTGCCAATGCGTACCTTTCGTACGCACATACCTTGTTTTACGCCGGCTGCTGTCAGATCGCAGCATAAGTACAACACAGTTTATTTTTCCTCACTCCAAATCGAACCGCAAGTTAAACGCGTCGTGCGTGTACTATTTTTTACTTTTTTAATAAAGAAAGTGTTCATATGTAATTTCAAGAGTTTCATTTATTGATTTCAAGTCGTTCCATCTGAGTTGTTTTCCACTGTGTTGGCCCCCGGACTCTACCTGCCGTCAGGTTATGGACCCAGGCTGGAACGGATTCAATCTCAAGAACATTCGATCAGTGAGAATCGAAAAGTCCTTTGTGGTGGCTCGTCACAACGGCGACATTGTGAAATCGCGAAAACTATTGTGCCCGTGTGTCGATCGGGTGAGGAAAAGTGAATCATGGCCGATGAAAAGTTTGCCATTCCCAAGCTGAACGGTGTCAACTGGCAGACTTGGAAGGTGCGGCTCGAGATGCTGCTAGCGAGCGAAGATTTGTGGCACGTCGTCGAAAAGGACATCCCGCAAGTGGAAAACATGTCCGCGATGTGGAAAAGTGAGGACCGGAAGGCGAAAGCGACCATGATTCTGCTGCTGGAGGACAGTCAGCTCCCGCTAGTTCGAAACTGTGTGCATGCGAAGGATGCATTCAATGCGCTCAGAACTTATCACCAGAAGACGACCCGCTCGGTTCGTGTATCGCTTCTGAAGAAGAAAACGGTGATATCGAAAAACACCTGCAAGAGTTTGACGACATTTTCGATCGCCTGGATGCTGCTGGGATGAAGTTGGATAAAGATACGAAGATCTGTATGTTGCTTCGTAGTCTTCCTGCCTCTTTCGATGGTCTGGTCACGGCGCTCGATAGCCGATCGGATGACGATATCTCCCTCGATGTCGTAAAATCGAAGCTGGTGGATGAATATAACCGGCAATTAGAAAGGAAAGGTGGATCTTCCAGGGTGGAGAGAGCGATGGGATGGTGATGGCAAGTCGGAGTCATTTTTGTAAGAAACCAGGACACATCAAGCGGAACTGCCGCAAGTTTTTGTCTACGCATAAGAAGGACGGAAATCCCTCCCGACACGATTCAGACGGCCATCCGAGGGCCAAAGCGGCACATAATGACGTCAGAGGAGTGGCGTTTGCTGCTGGGGGTGAACATTGTAGGAGTGGAACGACAACCCTATCAACCTAGTAATCTTCCAACACTGTATGAACATTTTTATACCGGAACATGTTGCGTGCTTGTTTTCTTTTGTATTTTGCATTCGCACGAGTTGTGCCCTCAATTTCTCAACCCAAGTGTTAACAAGAGAAGCTCGAAATAAAACCATTCTTTATTCTTTCACTAAGTTTCGCGTTATTCGTTTTCTGGTGGCTTTTTCTCATTTTTCCAAGTTCCCACGGACTCTGCGGGTGGATTCGATTCATCAAAAGTTCGTCGAGCTGGGTGATTGACAGTGGTGCCAGTGCACATATGTCCAACGACAAGGCGTTCTTCGGGTCGTTGAGTAAGTTCGCTGGTGGTTTTATCACGCTGGCCGACGGAACAAAGACCCAAATTGAAGGGGAAGGTTGCGGAGTGATCCTCGGTATCGACGGTTCTGGAAAAGTGACAAAAATTGACGTGAATGAGGAAAAATTTGTGCCAGGACTTTCTACGAAATTGATCGGTGTTGCAAAGTTGGCACAGAAGAACTTCCGAGTGAATTTTGACAAGAGTGGCTGTGAAATTATCGACACGGAAGATAACGTAGTGGCTACGGGAAGCCGAAACTGTGGTTTGTACTACCTGCGGGTAGCGTAAGCGTCGATGGCTGCATCGGATGGAATGCACAAAGTGGATTGCCAGCATCAATGGCACCGGCGGCTCGGTCACCGCGATTGGGCTGCTGCAGAGCGGATCATCAACGAACAACTAGCTACTGGGATCAAAGTGACCGATTGTGGACTGCGTTTGGTTTGCGAATCCTGTATGGAAGGTAAGTCAGCTAGGCTTCCATTTTCTCCGGTCGTTGACCGTAAGTCGTCCCGAGTGTTGGACATAGTCCACACTGATTTATGTGGTCCGATGGACAATGCTACGCCGAGCGGCAATCGGTATGTTATGACGATTACCGATGACTACAGCCGGTTCACCGTTACAAAAGTGAGGCGGCTGGCAATATAAGGGATTACGTGCGTTGGGTTAGCAATATTTTTGGTCGTAAACCTGGCGTTGTGCGTTCTGATGGAGGGGGAGAGTTTGACAACAGGGAACTCCAAGCGTTCTACAAATCGGAAGGGATCCAACCACAGTTTACTACCCCCTACACTCCTCAACAAAACGGTGTCGCTGAACGCAAGAATCGATCCCTAACGGAAATGGCGACTTGCATGCTGGTGGACGCGGGTTTGGAGAAGCACTACTGGGGTGAAGCGATGCTCACCTCCACCTACCTCCAAAATAGGCTGCCATCTAGATTGATCCAGACAACACCATACCAGTTGTGGTGGGGCCGGAAACCGGACTTGAAACCAAGCGCAAGAACCTCGACAGTAAATCAATCAAGATGACGTTCATCGGGTATGCGATAGAGCAGAAGGGTTACCGTTTTGTTGACCTTCAGACAGATCAGATCACGATCAGCCGCGATGCACGTTTCATTGAGTTGGGGAACGGCACGTCGTTCGTGGAAGTAACGAAGCAAGAAGCCAGAAGAACAAATCAAGCTGCTGCCGCTGAAGAAGAATGAGGATTCTGATGACGATCCAGATGAGGAGAGCGGATCTGCTCGGGAAGATTTTTATGAAGCTGACAATGGAGAAGAAGGTGCGAGTTTAACTGTTCGTAGATCGGAGCGGTCGAAAACACGACCAAGGCATCTGGACGGTTTTCAGCTGGACTACGTGGCAGGCGTAGCACCGTGCGCAGTGGAAGAACCGGTTAGTATTAAAGAAGCTCTAGCAGAACCTGTGTGGCGCAAAGCAATGGATGAAGAGTTGGAGGCCCATCGTATCAACGGAACGTAGAAGCTGGTGCAGTTGCCAGAGGGGCGGAAGGTCATCGGATCAAAATGGGTGTACAAGGTGAAGAAGAACGAAGACAACCGCGTAGTGAAGTTTAAGGCAAGGCTACGCGCAACGGTTCGGAGTTGACGTCGGAGAAGTGTTTGCCCCCGTTACTAGTCAAGCAACATTTCGAACGTTTTTGACGGTGGCAGCAAAGCACAGCATGGTCGTTCAGCATCTAGACATCAAGACGGCCAACCTGCACGGGACCCTCAAGGAGGAAGTTTATATGCGGCAACCGCCGGGATACTTGAAGGCCGGGAAGGAACAGCTGGTGTGCAAGCTCCAGCGCAGCATCTACGGATTGCGTCAGTCTGCTCGCTGCTGGAACAAGAAGCTGCATGAAGTGCTAGTGAAGAACAAATTCAAGGCAGCGGTGGCAGATCCCTGCCTCTATTTTCGAGACGACAGAAAGGCGAAGGTTCTTCTGTTGGTGTACGGGAACGATCTTCTGCTGGCGTCAATGGATGCAGACGAAATCAAGGCTGTACAAGAGTACCTGAACAACGGCGCCGGTGGTGTAGTGGTAAGCGTGATTACCTCTCACCCCAGCAGGCCTGGGTTCAATCCCAGTCGGCGTCGCCGGGATGTTCTGAGGCATAACATCTCTGATCACGCCTTCCTTCGGAAGGGAAGTAAAGCCGTTGGTCCCCGGTTCATGAGTTGATGGGTCGATAGGTAGCGTCCAGGTGTGGGAGCTGCCTTCCTGGCGCGTCGGTAGCATTGGTGCTCAGCACGGAAAACAAGATCGACGAAAAACAAACCAAAGGAAAAAAAAAAAAAAGAGTACCTGAATGCGGAGTTTGAGCTGGTCAATCTCGGAGAAGTGCGACATTTTCTCGGGGTTGAAGTACAGCATGAAGGCGATACTTTCAAGATCAGTTTGCGTAACTACATAAACGCATTGTTGAAGGTGCATGGGATGGGAGGAGCGAAAACTGCTAAATCACCAATGGACCCTGGATATTTGGGACTGGCCGATTTCGGAATCCCCTTCGACGATCCAACGAACTACCGCAGTCTTGTCGGTGGTTTGCTCTACCTGGCCGTCGTAGCAAGGCCGGATATTGCAGCTTCCGCTTCAATTTTGCGAAGAAGGTTTAGTACACCGAGCGAAGTAGATTGGGTGGCAGCGAAGCGTGTGCTGCGTTTCCTGAAGAGAACGAGAGACTATCAGTTGAAGATGGGTGGAGCCGTTGATCAGCCACTGGTCGGATTCTCCGATGCAGATTGGGCTGGAGATGTCACAAGTCGCCGCTCTACTTCCGGAATGATGTTCCAGTTTGGAGGCAGCATTGTTTCGTGGGCAAGCCGTCGCCAATCGTCCGTTACACTTTCGTCCATGGGAGCCGAATACGTCGCTCTCAGCGATGCGTGCCAGGAAGCGTTGTGGCTGCGACAGTTACTCAGCGACTTCGGTGAACAGCAAGAAAAACCAACGGTTGTTATGGATGATAATCAAGGATGCTTGGCGTTTGTACGAACGGAGAGAACCAGCAGACGCTCCAAGCACATTGACACCCGTGAGCGATTTGTGCGGGAGTTGTGTGTCAAGAAGAAGATAGAGTTGCAGTACTGCTCCACCGATCGCATGATCGCTGACATTTTGACCAAGCCCTTGGGTCCGCTGAAGCACCAGGAGTTCTGCGAGATGCTTGGGCTTAAAGAGTACAGCTGAAGAAATGCTTCATTGAGGGGGAGTGTAGAACGGTGCAATGTCACACCTCTTCACCGTACCTTGCGTCAGTTAACATCCATACCTGCCGATGCGTACCTTTCGTACGCACATACCTTGTTTTACGCCGGCTGCTGTCAGATCGCAGCATAAGTACAACACAGTTTATTTTTCCTCACTCCAAATCGAACCGCAAGTTGAACGCGTCGTGCGTCGTCGTCGTCGTCCCTACATTAAAAATTAAAAAGAAACGAACGGAAAAAAAAATTACATTGAAAAGCAAACACGTCCACTCGCGTTCAAAGCATACTTCGATCTCTAACAATGGTCGCCAGATTCGACTGAAACTTTTTCGCTAGAATACAAACTGAAATCAAGGAACATTCCCATCAGGCTAGCTTCTATTCATCTATCGTATAAAATGATCACTTTAAGGCTCTGAACCATTTGATGGATTATTTTAACTTTTGGTTAAAATTTGACAGATGAAAAGTTATCGATTAACCCTGCTATCCGAGCGTGGTTACTTCTGACAGACAAGAAGTTAAATTTTGACGACCGTGGCTCGAAAACCGGTCGATTGACAGCAAGGGGATTTTCGAACATAAGAAATAACTTTCGAAATGTCACTTTTAACCACGAGTTAAATTTAACTAGGCAAATGGTTCAGAGCCTAAGTGTGGTATTTGACGTTAACCATCTCCAACTAGGTAAAGATAGTTTGTTTGGCTGGCTATTGGTCACAGACGGAAATCCGTGTGAAATCCGATTAGAATATCATCTTTTACGGTAGTAACAAAGGTAATATGAAGTCAAAATTGTAATTTCTATAGTCATTGGAAGTCTTCTTCAGCTTCAACATCACAAAACATAAATTGTCTTCAAAATGTCTGTGGAAAAAAACATATTTCACTGAAGTTCATATGCCTTCAAAATGAAGACATGTCTTCAAATTTGGTGTCCCTGATACCATCGCAAAGCAACGCCGTCAGTATTTGTTATGGTTACAGACCTAAATCTGCTGGTAGTAATTCTTGATCAAGACCAGTCATACATTGCTATTTTGATCTCATCAGTTTTGCCAAGAAGCTAAACAAAACAAGTATTCAGAAATGCAATAATAAACATTTAAATCGCCACTCGTGCGGGCAATAAATCATACATTTGCATCTTCAGCTATGCATTCCTCCATGTAAGCACGTTAGGGACTAGATTCAAGCGGCTTTCAAAATGAAGCCTAAACACTCGTGTTGTATATTGTAATCTGCTGAAAGTTTGTTTCCAACATCACGTAGAACTTGAAACCCGTGACAGCAAACACTACAAATCGAAAGAGATCTTAGAGATTTAGACGATCATAACCATTATTGATATAATAACAAAGGTTTTCGATATTTTGCATAACTCACCGATCCACAACTAACGCATTGAAACCTTGCAATTATCACGTTTTAAAACTGCCCACGAGAATCAATGAACGTGATCGATAATGAATGACCTAAAGGAAATGTACTTCCGAAGAGCCACCCTACCCAGCAACCTCGATCGCTGCCAGTGCCAGTAGGTACCTATATCCAACCGTTTACGTACTATTTACCGTGCCAAATGTACACTTCACCTCAAAACCGGCTATTAATGGGAAATTGATTTGCTGCTTCGTAATTAGTGCCATCCTCGCCATCGCCGTCGCCGTCGTCGTCGTCGTCGTCTTCGTAACATACGCGTTATCCAGGAATAATGGCGATGGCACTCACGCACACACGATAGCTTCCTTTTGAGATGTCAGAGGGTATCAAGGGCAAGACGAAAAAACTATCTTCCTATTTGAACCGAACCTCAGCGAGCGAGCGTTGGATCAAATTGAAGAGCTCGGTTTTTTTTTGTTGTTGTCGATCAGCACCTCTTCATACACATGCGTCATGGTAATTCATTTGCGCCAAACAATAAGGTGCACGGTTAGAACCCAATTCAAACCAAAACCAGTCAAGAACAGTACGGCAGGCTCAACGGTTGTTTGGTTGGTTGATCGCGTCGATCAATCTTCTCAAGCCCCAGTTAGCGTGCGTGTGTGACCTAGTGATCGGAAATGGCCGCCATCAGCAAGCACTGGAACGAAATCGTCCACTCGGGCGTAACCTGCGCAACGTTGTCCCACCCGGGCAAGACATGTCACGATCACCTCCGGTATCAGATGCGAGCCACCATCGGGGGCAACTTGAAGTTCTTCATTCCGATATCGATCGTCCGGTTGTTCATGCTGTGCTACACCAAGAAAACGATGTCGGTGGAAATCGTTCTGCAAGCGCTGTTCGAGTTGGTTAGTGAATCGTTCAATGGGTGGGCCGTGTCCAATTGTTGGAGTGCCGGGTTCTGTGGCATGTACCATTGGTTCGGAGGCTTTATCAACAACTACTCGGTGTCGCTTCCGGGGCTGCCGGGGACACTGCTGATGTTCTTCATGCCTGCCTACGTCAAGATGAGCCATTCGAGAGCGATGTTCAATGTGGTATGTGGGTTAATGTAGCGCAATGGTGCTGGTGGTGGTGATGATTATGACGAAGATGACTTGCCAGTTCCATGCGCTGCTGCAAGCAAAAAGTAGAAGTGAATTATTCTGCATGACCGGCGGATGATTGATTGATTGATGTGCGCTTTTGGAAGTTTTTAGAGTGTTGGATGAAGTCGAGAGAACATCCACTGTTCGAGTACGCGCGGGAATCGAAGGTCATCGGAACGTTGGCGTTCATGGCCATGAGTGCCGCTATCGGGTACTACGCACAAAGGACCAAGGCGGTGGAGTTTTGGTGAGTTTCGTTCCAACGTAGCAACGTACTGCTACATTAGAGTTAAGATCTTCTTCAGCATTCTCATGCTAGGCACAACCCGCACTTTTTCGAAGGGATTTGTTCAAGAATTGGAACGTTACTATCGAAGATGACTTCTAAATTCATGTATTGCCAATTCAAAGAAAAATTAGCATTTGAAATCATATTATTAGCTTTAATACAATGCCATGGTTGTGAGTTGCGCCAAATTGCGTTCTTTAATTTTGATTAAAAAAAACTGTTTTTATGCATCATCTCAAAGAGCTTTATTTTCTGAGCACAACGATATTTTTTTCGATCCAATAGACTTTCATCTCGATTTTTGAATTAAGCTTTAAAGCTTAATAATAACTGCACTGTTTGACACTAAACTAACAAATTGACAGCTCGTTCGCCAGGATTTTCTGAGGCATAAAATCTCTGATCACGCCATTCTTCGGGAGGGAAGTAAAGCCGTTGGTGCCCGGTCCATGAGTTGATGGGTCGATATGTAGGGTCCAGGTGTAGGAGCTGCCTCCCTGGCGTCGGTAGCATTGGTACCATCTAGAAATACAGAGAAATACTAGAAGGAGAGATGAGTGGAGAGAATGTTTTGAGCCAAATGAACTGTCAAAATCTGAGCCAAACGAACATTCCGATTAGATTTTTTTCCGAGGATTTCTTATTCTTACTAGATTTAATTTGAGAGTATTGCAATCGAAAAGAAATTCAATCACCTTTATGTTTCGTGTGCTTCTCAAATTCAACTAGTTTTTGGAATCTAAAGCAATATTCTAGCTCTATTGATTAATTGATCTTAGTTGGTTAATTAATGGCACCAAACGAATCAAATGTAAAAGTCATGTGAAATGCTAAGTTTTAGCAAGGGTTGCAAGATAATTTAGATACAAATCCCTGCTGCCGAATTGTATTTTGTTTTCTCCGCCTATCTCTCCCTCTGAGTATTTCTAGATTTTACTAACTGCACTGTTTAACACTAAACCAACAAATTGACAGCTCGCTTCCATACACGGCGAATGAGAACAACCCAAATTAGAGTTTAGTTCACTCATAATCGCCAAAAGTGCAGGAACTCAGCGATGAGTAAATTTGTCTCATGATTTTCTGTGGAGAACCTAAAAAATCTGCCGGAAAATGAGGAAATTAACAAAAAAATTATATTCAGTCTTGGAGTAGTACCAATAAACTGAGTGAATCCAATCTTTACTTTTCTCAAATTCGGGAATTTTTCCCTGGAAAATCCTGGAAAACATAAGGCAAATTTTGCTCATCACTGAGTTCCTGCACTTTTGGCGATTATGAGTGAACTAAACTCAAATTTGGGTCGTTCTCATTCGCCGTGTACAAAATCCCACTGAGGGGTGCTGAGATGGTGGTTTTACCTTTTTTTTTTTTTTTTTTTTTTTTAACTCTTTATTTGTTCCAAATTCAAAATAAATTACATTTCATTTTAACCTAGGTGCTCCAGTTACTGCAGTAACGTACCAGCCTTAATTGTTATGATATATATCTAAGTGTTTTTACATTGTTCATGTCTTGGCAATTCAGTATTTTAAACAGGTTTTTTAACCTGCATGTCAGTATAACAATTGATATCTTAAAACTAAAAACTAAAACTAAATCTTATCTAAGTATAAAGGGAATTAATCGTTGCAATTGAGGATTGCAACGATTTTTGCCTGAAATTATTAATTATTTTGTTGGACATTTGTGCTAAAGTCTCAACATTCGAAATTCTATGTACTTCGGTTGTACTGTACCAGGGAGGCAACTTCAAAATCATTTTCAGAATTTTGTTCTGAATCCTTTGAAGTGCTTTTTTCCTGGTAGTGCAGCAACTAGACCATATTGGCACAGCGTAAAGCATGGCCGGTCTAAAAACTTGTTTAAATATTAGAAGTTTATTCGTCAGGCAAAGTTTGGATTTCCTGTTTATAAGAGGATACAAACATTTTATATATTTGTTACATTTGGCTTGAATGCCCTCAATGTGATCTTTAAAAGTTAATTTTTGGTCAAGTATTAATCCAAGATATTTCACTTGGTTTGACCAGGAAATTGGAACTCCGTTCATAGTGACTATGTGACTACTACTAGGTTTCAAAAACGAAGCTCTAGGCTTATGTGGAAATATTATAAGTTGAGTTTTGGAAGCGTTGGGAGAAATCTTCCATTTTTGTAAATAAGAAGAGAAAATATCTAAACTTTTCTGCAGTCTGCTGCAAATAACACGAAGACTTCTTCCTTTAGCGGAAATGCCTGTGTCATCAGCGAACAAAGATTTGTGGCAACCCTGAGGCAAATCAGGGAGGTCCGAAGTGAAAATGTTATACAATATAGGCCCAAGAATGCTACCCTGAGGAACTCCTGCCCTAACAGGTAGCCGATTAGATTTGGAATTTTGATAATTTACTTGAAGAGTTCTGTCAGTTAAATAATTTTGAACTAATTTCATAATATAAAGTGGAAAATTAAACTTTTTCAATTTAGCAATCAAACCTTCATGCCAAACACTGTCGAATGCTTTTTCTATGTCTAGAAGAGCAACTCCAGTTGAGTGGCCTTCAGATTTGTTTGAACGAATTAAATTGTTAACTCTTAAGAGTTGATGAGTAGTTGAATGCCCATGGCGAAATCCAAACTGCTCATCTGCAAAAATTGAGTTCGTATTGATGTGAAGCATCATTCTATTCAAAATTATCTTTTCAAAAAGTTTACTTATTGAAGAAAGCAAACTTATTGGACGGTAGCTAGAAGCTTCAGCTGGATTTTTATCCGGCTTCAAAATTGGAACAACTTTTGCATTTTTCCATTTATCAGGAAAGTATGCCAAATGGAAACATCTGTTAAATAATTTTACCAAGAAAGACAAGGTACTCTCTGGGAGTTTTTTGATGAGGATATAGAAAATTCCATCATCACCTGGAGCTTTCATATTTTGAAACTTTTTAGTTATAGACCTTACTTCGTCCAAATCAGTCCCCCAGGTATCATCAAAAATATTTTCCCGAGAGAAAATATTCAGAAAATCCCGAGCAACCTGATTCTCAATAGGACTAGTAAGACCCAAACTGAAATTATGGGAACTCTCGAATTGCTTAGCAAGTTTCTGAGCTTTTTCCAAATTTGTGATCAAAATTTTACCACCTTCTTTAAGCGCTGGAATAGGCTTTTGAGGTTTTTTCAAAATTTTTGTGAGTTTCCAAAAGGGTTTGGAACTCGGGTCTAATTTAGAAATATTATTTTCAAAAGTTTTGTTCCTCAGGGCAGAGAATCGCTTTTTAATTTGTTTTTGCAAATCCCGCCAGATAACTTTCATGGCAGGATCGCGTGTTCTTTGATATTGTCTCCTACGGACATTTTTAAGACGGATCAAGAGCTGAAGATCATCGTCTATTATAACTGAATCGAATTTAACCTCGCATAAGGTGGTTTTACCTTTGTTATTATTACCTCTATGTTATTACCGTAACATAGGTATTAAAATCGGATTGCCGTCTGTGACCGATAGCCATCCACACAAGCTATCTCACCTGTATAGAACATTCCCAATTGACCACTTTGTCAAGCAGTTTTGGCCTGACTTTCTACCAGCGATTTCACAAAACTGGACCAACTAATTTCTATTTTTTTATGAAACGCACAAATGTTATCTACTTTTCTCGAGGTTCTAGAAGAAAAAATCTCAAAATAATGTTTCATTTCAAAGTTCGAGTGGTAGTAAACGTCATTTTATCTGCTCGAATGAAGTGGTTAATTAACCACTTCATTCGAGCAGTTAAAATGACGTTTACTACCACTCGAACTTTGAAATAAAACATTATTTTGGGACTTTTTCTTCTAGAACCACGAGAAAATTAACTAACATTTGTGCGCTTCATAAAAAAATAGAAATTAGTTGGTCCAGTTTTGTGAAATCGCTGGTAGAAAGTCACACCAAAACTGCTTGACAAAGTGGTCAATTGATAGATCTCTGCTCGATATGGCTCGACAGTTTGATCACAAACGAAGTGACAGACGACTTTCTCCGAAGAAATTAATTAAAATAATGTGGTTCTCTGTAATAGAATTTTAGTCCACCTTCCGCCCCTCACCGCCAGGTTCGCTAGTAGTTTTGCTTTAAATTAATTCAAGTTGGTTTTGTGTGCAATGATCTGGCAACCCGCGTTCTCGCTCGCGTTGACGAGGTGCTGTTTTCTCACTCATCGAAGGAAATTTTGATTAGAGTGAGAAAGTAAGGAACAGTCAGCGCGGGAACCGTGTGCGTTACTATAGGTGCGGCAGAAGGAATGAAGACAACTCTTTCGTACTCACGGTGTTCTTACGCATGATCCAACGTTACGTCACGCTAGATTATGCATAAGAACATCGTGATAATGAAAGAGCTGACTTGTTTCCTTCTGCCTCACCAATCACATTGAGATTTTCTTTTTTTGATTCCGAGAAAAGTTGACCTGAGTAGCCACTTTGGGAAGCAATGTTTTGATTTCATTCATAATGTAGAGGGATGGCGGTTTCGCTGAAACAGTGAGCAAAAAATAGACGTTTGCTGGTATGGAAAAACGTGGCATACATAGTGGTCCCATTCTACTAGCGGTTGAAGAATATTTCGCTGCTGTGACGATCCGACAGGGAACGTTGATTACGTATTCCGGCCATACTTTTGGACATTGCTGTGCGGACCAGTTATTGGTATCATGCTACCCGGCATTCTTTGTTGCTGAGCAAACATGTTACTGTTATCCTTCCAGCGACCCCGGTGTATCCCGATTGCTCGGAATGATTAAGCTAATACTTTTCAGTATCTAACAAGTGGTGTATAAACCAATTTTGCAGTACATATAGAATTTCTGGAATGTTTGCGTTGTCCTATTTTTCCGTAAATTTTTCTTCTTTCGACAACATTTGTGGGCTTCGTGGTCCAGTGATTATCAGCGTCACCCGTCGCTCACCAGGGTGTCCATTCAAATACCATTTTT